CCCCCCCAGCCCGCGGGGGCTCCGCAGCAGCCGCGGCCCGAGGAGGGCACGGGGGGTGCGGGCGCCGGGCCGGGAGATGCGGGGGGACGGGCGGGCGCCGCTCACAAGCCCCGGAGGGCAGGTACGGCCCTGGGCAGGGGTAGATCTGGGGGGTCACGGGGGTGTGGGGAACGAGGATCGGGAGGTGGCGGCGTTTTCCGGGATCACCGGGAAGAAGCGCAGCCCCGGGGAGGGGGGGTCGTGGGGACGAGTTTAGGGAGCGTCGCTGTGCTATAATCCTCCCTCGCCGGCGATTTCCGGACTTTAAACCCCCGGTTTGGCAGCTCCCCGGGATGTAACTCCCCGATTTGGGGGTCCCTGGGCTCTGATTCCACCGGCACGGGGGGGGTCCCGGTGCCTCCGTTTCCCCCGTGTCCCCCTCCCCCCCTCTCTGCCGACCGGGACACGTGTCAGGACACGCGAGGCCAAGATGGAGCCCCGGGAGGCGGGGGGGACCCTTGGAACGGGACCCCCAAACTCCCCCCGGGGGACGGAGCTTCCCTTCGTACCCCCCCAAAAGAGCCCCCAGATCCCTTCTCAGCGACAGCGACCCCGCGATGTCCCCACAGTGGGGACAGAGCTTCCTTGGGACCCCCCAAAACACCTCCTAGATCCCTCAACTCCCCCAAAACAGGGACATGAGAACACCCCAAAACACCCTCCCCGTGTCCTTCTCCTGTCCCGGGTCGCTCTCAGGGTGGTCTCTGCTGCCAGATTTGCCCAAATCGCGGCGTTTTTCCCCTCAGACTTCCCGCGGAAGCGGAAGCGCAGCCGCTGGAACCAGGACTCGCTGGARCAGAAGACGGTGATCCCCGGGATGCCCACGGTGATCCCGCCCGGGCTGACGCGCGAGCAGGAGCGCGCCTACATCGGTAACGGTTTTGGGGGGAAAAACAGCGGGTTTGGGGGTCACCGGCCCCGAGTTTGGGGTCAGAACACGGGGTTTGTGGTTAGATCCTGGAGTTTGGGGTCAGATCCCGGAGTTTGGGGTCAGATTTCCTCTSGCTCCGGCGCTGAGGTGCGAGCAGGAGTGCGCCCACATCGATAACGGTCTGGGAGGAAAACAGGATTTTGCGGTCAGAACCTGCAGGGTTTTGGATTAAAATCCCCCCCGGGATTGCGGGGTCAGAACCTGCAGGTTTTGGAGTCTGAACCCCGTCGAGATTGGGGTCAGAACCTCCTGGGGATTCTGGGGCTAAATCTCCAGGATTTGGGATTAGAACCCCCATGCTCACAGCAGTAACTCCCTCAAATTTGGGGCTAAATCTCCAGGATTTGGGGTCAGAATCCCCCTGGGATTTGGGGTCAAAACCTCCCCAAGGTTTGGGGTCAGAATCCCACCAGGATTTGGGTTTAGAACCCCCCTGGCATTCAGGGTCAGAACCTCCCTGGGATTTTGGACAATTAATTAAGCCAAAACTTGCAATTTTGGGCAATAATTTGTAGGTTTAGGTGAAAACGTATAATTTTAATGCAACAATGTCTTGGTTAACAGCTTTCATTTTGTGGTTATAATGTATTTTTAGCCGGTATTGTGTGTTTCAAGGTAACTGTTGTGATAACCTTTATTTTTGGTGATAATCAGGTGCTTTAGGTAATAATGACTGTGTTTAATTACATCTCCTGTTCTAGGTAATAACAGTTGCTTTTTTTAGTAGTAGTCATGTGTTTTGAGTAATAATGTGGTTATTTTAGGCAATGTCTATTTTTTTAGGAATAATCTCGTTTTAGGTAAAATTGTGGTTCTTTTAGATAAAACTGTGATTGTTTTAGGTAATAACATTTACCTTTTATAGTAATAATCTTGCATTTTAGGTAACAATTGTGACATTTTAGTAAATAATGCCTTTTTTTGACTGATAATCTTCTATTTTAGGTAATAATGTCTGGTTTATTATAACAATTTCTAGTTTTTCCATAATAATACCAGGAGGTTTGGTAATAATGTGCTTTTTTGGGTAATCCTGTGATTTTTTTTATAACAATGTGATACTTTTTCTCTCGTGATAACCTGCTTTTTTTGGTAATAATGTGTTTTTTGGGGTAACAATGTGTTTTTTTGGGGTGATAACCTGCTCTTATTACTAAGAAGGTGTATTTTTCTGCTAATAATGTCAATTTTAGGTAATAACATTTGGTTTTTCTCACCATAACCATTTGGTTTTAGGGCAGTAATGCCTGTTTTTGGTACCACGGAGCTGGTGTAGGTAGACAAAAAAAAAAAAAAAAAAAAAAAAAAAAAAAGAGAAAGAAGTTTTAACCCAGGCTGGGAAAGAAGGATTTGGGGGAGGAATGTTTTTTTTTTGAAATTTTTCTTTGGGGGGGTAAAATGTGGGTGTTTTGTAACTGTGTCTCTCTCACCTCTCYGGGACCGGGTTCCTTCCAGTGCAACTGCAGATCGAAGACCTGACCCGCAAACTGCGCACGGGAGACCTGGGCATCCCCCCTAACCCCGAGGACAGG